CAAAAATGTCTTGTTTACAAAAATACTTGAAAGAATCATGTAATATTAGATAAAACAATGTACAGATCCGGTACAACATTAAAAGCAGAGTCAAAAATAAAAATGTTTACAAAGAATTGTAAGAGCTTGATTCAGCCTGTTCTATGCATTCAACAGGAAGACAAGCAGGATTATCAAGAAATATGATACATAATCACAAACATTCTCTTTCTCCAGGCACATACACAAAGTTCTCTTCACAGAGATTGCAATATGCAAGAAAGTTCCACAACAGAGCTTATTGCGGGCACACACATTTCAGGTCCACATACACGTCAGCCTTCGGCCAACAGTGCGTCAAAAACTTTTTGGTTGGCCCGCAACACACACCTTTCGAACAGCTGAGCGACTTGATGATGTGGATGCTCTTCAGTTTGAGCCCCAGGCCTGTCATTGACGTCAGCACATTGTCCGACAGGTGGAATTCCCTGTCGAAGACAAGCCTCTCCAGAGAGGGCATGTCCTTGAGCAGCCCCAGCATGGCCGTGCTGCTCATATTGGTCGCCCGGAAGGTGAGCTCCAGAAGATCCTTGAAAGTGGCTCGCACCATCTTGGGGATGGAGGCCGGGCTCGACACGCCGTCCAGCACCAGCTCCCCGAGGATGGGCAGCATGAAGGAGCGGTGCAGGTCCATCTTGATGGCCGCCTGCGCCTCGGCGCTGGCAGAGTCGGGGAGGACGGCGGGCCGGCGCGTGAGCGTGAGGCGGAACACGCTGGGCAGCGAGGCGGGCGCGTGGCGAGCCAGCACCTCGCACGGCACCGTCAGGTCCAGCAGGTTGGGGCACAGCGAGGCGTGGATGAGCTCCGCCACGCCCACCTGCTGCAGCACCACGCGCACCAGGGTCGCCTGGTAGGCCGTCAGCAGGCTGCAGACCGTGCCCGACCCCGGGGCGTAGTAGGCAGACAGGTCCACCTCCTGGATGGCAGAGAGAGAGAGAGAGTGGAGGTGAGTTACGAGAGATGGGACTGTTGTGCTGCACGCCAAAGAGGGGTGGACCACTTGGATATTCCATGTACACACTGAAAAATATTCCATTTTTTCCCCAGATATCCCAAAAGTAATACAAATATTCCACCAAAATTTTCCAGGTATTCCAAAATATATTCCAGATATTCCGAAAAGAAAAATCCACGTACACAAATCTGACTGGTCGGTCCCTTGCCCGGCAGCCGGCCGTGTTACTCACCTCCAGGATGCGCGGCGGGGCGCCCAACGGCCGCGGCCCGAAGTTGAACTCGACGGGGAAGAAGCCGCTGAGGCGCAGCTTCTTGAGCGCCGGCATGCGGTCCACCGTGTCGAGGACCTTGCAGGGTGTGTCGGGGGTGCTCACGTCGACCACGTCCGCGTCGGCGATGAGGTCGAGCTCCTCGAGGTGGGGCGAGTGCTTCTCGAGCACCGAGAGGCAGTACTCGGGGTCGAGGTCCATCGTGGAGAGGCGCAGGCCGCGGACGCAGCAGCTGGTCTCCACCAGGGCCTCCGTCACGTGGCGGGGAGGCCTCTGCGCCACCGAGCGCCGCCCCTGCTTCCGCGACATCCTCTCGCAGTCGACCATCGCGAGCTGCGGGGCGAGGCGGAGCACGCGGCTGAACTTGGCGTTCTGCCGAGCCTCGTAGCGCAGCACCTCGCGGCCCCACATGAGCTCGCCCGAGCACACCTCGCGCCAGCGCCGGCACACCAGCTTGCACGTCGTCAGCCGCACCAGCGGCTCCAGGTTGCGGAGCACCTCGCACAGGACCTCGTCGGGCAGGGCGGCGATCTGGAACAGGGCGCGCGTTAGTACAAAGTCAATAATACCGGCAAGGTCATCGTGAGCATAGAGTATCCTCACCGTCGCCGCGGGCTTGGAGGCCGTGGACGCTGCTGGCTTGTGCTGCTGCTTGACCCTTTTAGGGGATTCGGGAGGAGGCCCCGAGCCGTTGACCACCGGACCTCCTCGGGGCGCGGGCAAGCTCAGGCTGAGCGTCTCCCAGGCGCCGGTCTCCCCGTTGGGCAGGAACAAGGACGCCTTCACGTGTCCGTCGGAGTCCTCGGGGGTGGTCGCCGGGGTGAGGTTGCCCGGCGGGATGCCGTAGATGACCTGGGCCACGCCGGGGCTGATCTGGGTGACGGTCTTGGTCCGGTTGGAGGTGGGGGTCTTGCAGAGGATGCTGGTGCGCCTGGGGGCGACCGGGGATGCCGGGGCGGCACAGTGGGCGCTGACGGCCGAGTCTCCAGTCGAGGCGGGGGCGGGCGCGGGTGCCTGCGACGCAATCTGCTTGTAGGCCGGCGGGCGCTGCTGGGCCGGCGGGTACACCGCCTGCTTCGGAACCTGCTGCACGGCGGCGGCGGTGACCGGGGGGCCCACGGCGAGGACGCGGAGCGGCGGGCCGGACCGCGCGACGGCTTGCGCCATGCACTTCTGCACCGTCTCCGCTGCCGCCGCCTTGGCTGCGTTCTGTGTGTGCTGCCGGGTGACGGGCGGGATGGCGGGTTTCATCTCCTCGCTCTGCATCAAGTTCAGCACGTGGTCGCTCAGGGTACTGACCACCCGGGCCTGCATGTTGGGCAGGATCGAGTTCTGCAGGGCCAATTCGACAGCCTGCACCAGCAAGTAGTGACTGAGGGTCGAGACGGCGCTCTGGTAACTCTCCAGCAGCACTTTGTCCAGGGCGAGCTCAATGTTGCCCTGCAGCGGGGCGGCGGGCCGCTCGTTTGGACCCACCATCTTTGCAAAGTTTTCAACGGCCTCAGTGCGACTCATGGAGGCTGTCTGCTGGACGACCTGTGCAGGAAGAGAGCGTGACCCACGCTTTGTAGAGGAGCAAAGTCCCGGACCCAGGAGCGTCAAGCTGATCGAGGGCAAGTCTTACCTGTTGGACGAGTCCGAAGGTCTCGGGGGCCAGGATGGCGTCGGCTGCCTCCTTGACGGCCTGCTCGATGGTCTGGCTTGCCGCGGCCGCGGCGCTGACTGCCGCCTCGGTTAATGCCTTGGACAGGACCTCCGCGGAGCTGCGGTTGATGGCGGGGTGCTGCATCTGGGCCACGCACTGCCAAGGCACCTGCGGTGCCGTCTGGGCGGACAGGTCGCTCATCCGGGACTCGGCGGACAGGTTCATCTGAGCCTTGACGTTGTCCAGGGTCAAGTACAGCCTCCTTTTCATGACTTGTGTCTGCCGCTGCGCCGGGGCCGGCGTCATCGTCATGGTTCTGAAATGAATTAAAATGTGCGGATGCCATTTCACTTGTTTTCAAGCCTGTCTCGGGTTGCGAAATGCAATGATCATGATGTCGTTTTTTCTACAGTGTAACCGTAACCTATACAATCCTTCGTCTGTCTGTAAGCGTCGGCTCTCTCCTCCGCGGCGGAGGCGGAGGGTTTTGTTTCAACCGTTTCAGCTTTTATCTCCCGCGCCTGCTGCCTGCTCCTGCTGGCCGGTGCAAGAAGCGACAGCGACGTAGCCACGACGAGGCAAAGCGAGAGGAGAGGAAAATAAGGTGGAGGAAAGGGAGAGATGAGAGATGGAATCAGAGGGGAGAGGGAAGAGGGAGGGATTGGAGCAGTTAAAAACTGCTGCTGGTCATCACTTATCTTACCAACGAAAAGACCTACTTCCCAAGGGCGCCCCTGCCATGGTGCCATTCGCAAGGTTCGATATTAAAGTCAACGTTTTTATCAGATATCTATTCACCTGGCAGGACCTAACCACGCCACTGAGCGGATTATAAATGCACACGCACAGCCATTTCAAGCGACAACCAAAGCGTGAGCTGTTGGTTAAGGAACCAGTACTCCGTCATTCCGAGAAACTTCTTATTGTTTTACGTTTCCGCGAACTTAGGTTACAAGATAGCAAGGGTTTGCAGAGGCAGACATCTCTTACAGCGGCGTCGGCGCGCAAAGTTCTGCGATGGCGACGCAATGCTCTCACTCACATCCAGCGGGGGCACCGTGTACACGGCGGCCGACTAAATCCCTTATTCAAAGTCTACGAGACACAACTGTACGCCATCACATTTCCACATTTGACTTACCTTGTATTCTCCATGATCAGACGCTGCTGAAAATTGTCAACTTCATTCACGGCCATGTCCGGTGTCACACCGTTCACATCACACATCGACTGACTATAACCACACTTCGTTTGTTTTCCACGGAGTTGCTGTTGCTGGTGCTGTTGTTGTTGCGGTGCCACAGCCACAGCAGAGGGGCGGGGGTGGGGAGGGGGCGTGGACGGTGTGGAGGGGAGCCGGGGGGAGCGAGTCGTCTGCTTTGGACAAAGACGACCAACGACCACCTGTTGGAATTGATTTACTGTATCTCAGTGCAAGTACGAATGTAGCTGGATTTATTCGCAGTTTTTCTGCCGTATTAACATACATGCAAGGCACAACATCAAGACAATAGTTAGTAATTTTTTTCAAAAATGTGTTCCATTAATGTTGTTGTACTTGTAGGAGGAGAAAAGGGCATCATAAATTAGACAGTAATTTACATCAGTTCATTGGAAGATTTTATTAAGTTGCGCTAAAAAAATAACCTATTACATAACGAGCACCATATGTTTGACTGGAAATTCTATAACGGACCATGCAAATGCATTCGGTTCATATCAAAGACAACCCTCTCTCATTTTTATTTTTATTTTTCAAATTAACCAAAATATTGTTTGATACTTTATACACCTACAAGCCAAAGCATCATGACTATACGGTAATATTCTTTTCATACAAAATTCAAATGGACGACTGTCCAATGACGATTCTAAAAAACCAAAGGGAAAAATTAAGAGTAGAAAAACAGTTACAGTCTTAATCTCCTTAAAATTGCAAACAGAAACTAAAGTTGTGCTAACAAACAAAAGTCACCTCCATTCTCCAGGCCAAGTCATCTACTGAAATATTTAACATTATATTTGAAGTCAAAACAAATTCATGATATGTTTTGGGCCCTTAACAGCAAAGAAGGAAAATGATTAGGCTACAGCACATAATTTTCCCTTCAGAACAATCATTCAGAGGTAAATGGCACTTCAATATTACAACTATAAATCAAATTGAACATTGATAGGTCATGACATGTCAAAGTAAAAGTACAGTGAAACTTGGAGAGTGAGAACCTAGCTAGTAAGAATACCGCCTATCAAGTAGCTTTCAAAAACCCCAGGTCAAATCTTTTTCATCAAAGTACCTTGTTATAAAGAATCCCTGTCGACAAGATACTGAGACCTTGGTCTCAAACTATTCTTACAATGCATGTTTCACTGTAAGAGAGGAAAAACAAAACACAAAAATATGGATTTCAATCAAAATATAAACAATAAAAGAAACAACAAAATACCAAGGCATGTTTAAAACATATTTTGTTGGATGCAAGTTCAATGCGGCACGCAAACCCTATGTATGACTGATACATTCTACATCTTTCCTGACTTGCTGCATGCACAGTACAAGATAACAGTGGTAAATTTAAATACAATAACTTTCAGATAAAGTACAGAGTACAGTATTTACAAATATCACATCACAATAACACAACTCACAACAAATTCAAAACCATCAAAACTAACTAAAATGGAATTTACAGTAATTAAAATTTGT